ACTGTTGAGAAGATGATTGGATCCTAAGTCAGAGAGATGTCTGACCTATGATCATGTATACGCCCCCAAGCTCTTGGTGACGTGTAAATCCCACTCGATAATTCTATCTTCGTGGAATTCAGGAATCATGAATGCACCTTTCACTCGTGCTGGTGTTATTTCTCCTGCAGGGGTAGTCCACATTGTTTGGACGCCCCCAAGATCCTTCATGCGTAATTTCTTAGCATGAGGTTGAGCAATCAAGGTTCCGGATGCTCCTGTATCCAGTAAGCAACGGAGTGTAACAGGTTTTGGTTTCCCTTTTTCTCGCTTGTTAAAACTAACATACGATGGGTTTGAGGTCTCTTGTTTGCGACGTTTACGAGGTGGTTGGCCACGGAAGAGGTTAACGATGCTAAATAGATCATCAGAGTCTAGTTGAGCAGCTTCTAGCAATCATCTAATTTGCCGTGTTCATCAGTTGCAAACAATTCTTGTTTACTATTAGTGAGATATCTTCATCACTTTGGTATGAGAAATCGGAACATGGTTCCGTTGAATCATCATCCTGGCCTAATCCTCAGATAGAGTTTCTCCATCAAGTGATGAAATTGATAGAGGAGTTGTCCTCATTGTCAGAGTTTCTATTGTGCTTGGCAACATGGTTGCGAAGTTTGCAAGGTGTTGCACGAGTATCGTCGATCTCGTTTTCTTCGTCATTGTCGACGAGAGAAGATGGGTTTGTCACGCAACTGTTTCTCGAAGTTGCGGAACGCATGCTTTCCTTGAGCCATCTTCATGGTGAAGGAATAGGTTGAGGGTAGCTGAAAGCTATTGTGTTTGTTAACAAAATGCACTACCTAAAAGCTAGTGTAAAGATCTTTCGATGTTTTGAGTTTGAGAGAATGAAAGTTATGAGAGGATTAGAAAGCTATGAAAACTAATCAACGAGAGAGATCACAATCAAGGGATCGTAGATCTAACTCCCGCGGGAGACTGTAAAGTGTGATAGAGTAGGTTGTGGTAGTATCCTACTCGTTCCACGATCCAAAACGGAACGCGTGAAGATTCGTCTAGCATTTATCTAGTAGGTGGAATCTCTCCACGCCAGCTAAATATCTAGGCGAATGTTTCACCATCGACCTAGTATGACTAGCGGTCATGAGAACCCTGTCTCAATGACTATTCACGAGAGACTCAGTCATGAGTCGAACTCAAACCCTATCTAGGATCGAGTCGCGAATAAGGCTAAGAGCCGTGTATTGCATAAATCGTCTCTTAAATCGTCTCCTAAACGGTCTCCTAAATCTAGGCGATCTCCTAAATAGTCTCCTAATACCGGCAATGGTCGCCTAAACAATCTCCTATTTTTGGGCGATCTTCTAAACGATCTCCAAAAAATGAGACTGACGTCACCACATGACATCCATTCGTGCTTTGAACCACGACTGATGGACTTTTAGTACCGGGTTCAGTCGTGCAAAACGGCTTATTGCCGGATCGTCCCGCGGTGCAGTGAAAACCTGAGAGGGTGAAGAAGGAGCTAGTCCACGCTACCAAACCACGTTTCAACGCAACCGGTTCCACGCTGACCACGCAGGCTACAGTCTGTCACTCAACCGCTGCTGAACAGCTCCTTTCCGGATTCATCATTTCACATCCAAGCACACTGAAGCACCACGAGAAGAAGCTTTTGCGCAAAGTCGACCTCTATTCTTGGAAGAAGGAAGACAACCTTCGTGTAGCACAAGTTTTGCGTCGGTACCATGTTCAAGACAAGAATGACTATGTGGCCTACAACCGAATTTGCGGTATGATTGGCAAGTTGTCGGCCAAGCTCAAGACCCTCCAGGCGGACGATCCATTCCGCATTGCCATGACAGAGCAACTTCTACAAAAAATGTACGATTTGGGCATTATTGACACAAAAAAGTCTCTCCAAAAAGCAGACGATGCCAATCCTTCGGCCATTTGCCGCCGGCGAATTCCCGTGGTGATGGTGCGATTGAAAATGGCCGAGACACTGCGTGTGGCTTGTACTCTGATTGAGCAAGGTCAAGTGCGAGTGGGCCCCAATGTGGTCACCGACCCGGCCTTTTTGGTGACCAGATCCATGGAGGATTACGTGACTTGGGTGGACTCTTCCAAAATTCGACGGACCGTGCAAAAGTACAACAATAAACTGGATGATTTTGATCTTTTATAAGGACGGATATCTCTTGCTTGTGCTATTATTCTTGCTGTGAGCAATCAATCAAACAGCCGACGGCAAACCCATCTAGAGTGGGCCCGGATCTTTTTCGTGCAGCTCACTGCGCAAGGTGGATCGAACCACTGGGATATCACTCCCCCACAGGTTCATGCATACATGTACTTTGTCAGTAAAGGCATACTTTGTCAGCATAGGCATCCAATGCCATCTCTCCCCCAAGCAAACACAGTTTCATACGGTACGGTACCGGAACAATGTAACATAGAGTGAACCTAGGCAACAATCATATCCATAGGAAAATTATTGTGAGCCAACGGTCGCTTGTAGTACCGGTACCGTACCTATATTTGTATTGAGCGCTGTACCGGTACTGTACTGTACTGTACGGTACCGGTAGAGCCTTTGAGCCCTTACTTGCAAAATTTGACCACCGCCGCACCTCATCGAGCACTGGTGGAAGCTTTCACTTCCTCGCGGAAATACGGATCGAATTACACTGAGATCCCGCCGATCCCTTCGGCACCTTGCCCTTCATTATGGCCAGAAACCACCACGGAAAATTTCAAGGCAAGATTCCATCCAACATAGAGAGGAGCCAAACATGGCAGAACCTGATGACCAGGAAAAGGACAACAATCTGCAGGATGGACTGAAACGGCTCCATTACACTCCAAGCGGATGAGGAGGGATGAGTGCGCACACCCACACTGTACCACCACGCAGCGTGCTCGAGCTTGAAACTTGAAGGTAGACTACCAGTAGCCGTTCAGGCGTGTAAACACGACATCCAAAGCCTTTCCCTTCAATAAGGTTGAGAATGAGAACCCTGCCGAATGAAGATTGAGAACCCTATCATAAGAATGGGCGCCTTGACAACCCATGACCCATGTCACAGTACTCGTACCGATACCGTTACATTCTACGGTCGTACATTTGATAGATCCGAGTGACCAGTACAGCACAGTTAATTGTTTTATTCAGGATCTGTTTTATTCAGGAAATGGCTATCCTGACTAGTATCAGATACCGTACCGGCAAGCAGCTGAGCGAGTGTTCCAAATTTTGACCCAGGGGAGAGATCAGATATACTTTCTCAACCTTTCTTGCCACTCCCGAAATCTACGGAAAGAGATCCTTAGCAGAGCACAGATCTGCTTTCTCGTTTCTACAATGGGATCAGCAAAGTCCAAGCCTGGCATCAGTGCAGAAGAAAGATGGGCTGCTCTCCCAAACTTCTGCAAGCACTACTTTGAGTACCTTTCCACCAAGGGAGGGTTTGTGTTGACGGCTGAGCAACGTGTGAAGATTGCAAACTTGACATTAACAAGTGCAATAGATTGCCCGGGTTGTGCCTCTTTGCCCAAAGAGGCCTGCCTGCCACCTGGCATTAACCTCTACAAGAATATCGAGGGACTTGATGCTGAATGCCACAGTGATGTTTTTGCCCACATGGTGCATTCCATTGTCAATCATCAGACACGCATTTTCAAGGATCCTGCTTGGTATGATACAACTATGGAAAGGCTAAAGGAATCCAACCTGCTGGATGAGGCACGGATGATGCAGGAAGGAATGACCTCTGAGCAGCAAAAGGAGTTTCTCTACTATGGCCTGTTTGCTGAGATTGTTTTAGTCGCCACATGTGTTCATGGGCTTCACATGATCACAATCATGAAAGGGGAAGCCCCTCCAACGCCAATTGTTGCTGCAAAGGATGCCACTCGTCCAAGTTACTTTGATTGGTCCAAGGTTTTCCATAAAGGCAAGACAGCCACGCACAACACACGCCTAGCAACCACGCCCTATGTCTCTAAGGCCAACATTGATACTAACAGTCCCCACTTCAAGGAGCTCATTCCAGACGACAAGGAACGCGCCCTGCTCTTTAATCTGGGCATGGTTCCTTTTACTCCATTTCTTGCCATTACTTGGAGCCCAGTAGACTTTGGCTGGGCAGAGCAGCTTACATCCAATTTTAATGTTGCTACTGAAAGCTTCACTGATCCCCATAATCCTTTGGATCCAAAAGCTCGATGTTCTGACCATTTCTTCCGCCGTGATGTGGAGGTCTTGGCTGTGGCTGTGAGTGATGGAAACCAGTGTGACTTCTGATCCGGAATGCACTCTGTGCTGAAGCGGGGTTCCTACAATATGGCCCCTGAGGCACGGGAAGAGTTGTTGGAGAAGTTTGCCAAATCTGCTACATCTCGTCCTTTGGATCGCAATGCCATTGCCAAAGTGCGAGAGGAAGTCCTGAAGGAGCTGGGACCGGAGGTCCTGGTGGAAGCATGTGGTGTGGTGGGAACCTTTGAGTGCGTTACAAAGTTTGTAGATGCATCAGGCAAGAAAGTGCCATCATCCACAATTCGAAGCACTGGTGCCTTTATTATGAGTACTCGAAATGCGTTCCACAACTTTTCGTTTTCGTGGTTGTCCAGCAAGTAGTATACCAGTGGGATTGTCAAATATATGGCAGCTGAGTGCGAATGACGGGGACACATGCAGGTTGACCTGCCTGATCCCTTGAGAGCATCATCGACATCGCGGCCAGAACTTCTAGGTACCTAAGCAGTGAGCTAAACTGCGTGACGAGACTCTATCTTTGTAGCTGTAGTAAGGTCATGACTATCATAGTTGCGGCAGTAGAAGGCAAGTAGAATCCGTTAGTTTCGGCAGACCCGTCAAGGCGGCAGACCAGGAAGTTGTTTGCAAGTCTACGTGCTGCGGTTACCGGGCATACGGAAAAGGACGAAGGGAGAGTTTGGTGGAGTGAGAATGGCGTGTCCAGCTTGTGGACCGACCCGGTTTGAGTCACAAACGGTGCCACCAGTGGGTCGTCTCGAGCACGTTGGCACTCAGCCAAAGAACTGAACACAAAATGGAGAAAGGAATGGGAACCAAACAAATGATCATCACTCGTGGTACTAGTTGAAAGAAAGGCACCCAACAGTGTCGAACTACGCGAAAGCAGGTCCCTGGAGGGTGACTGCGAAAGAAGAGCTGAGACAAAGACGAAGAAAAATATGGCGCTTAGGCATACTGCTGAGCGACAAATAGACTAAACATGATCCATTTTCTTCATGGATGTACCGGCTAGTACCAGCTATCAGGCTATACTGTGGTACCATACCTATTTGTAGTTGGGTACGCATGTAGCAGAGCATTTGGCTGCAGCAACACATTTTGACCACCGCCACTTACCGAGTTGAAACTTTCCTCGTGGAAATATTGATCGAATTGAATGGAATTGCACTGAACCCCCGCCGATCTGATCAGCACCCCCGCGTCTGGCTGGTAGAAGAAACCACGAAGGAAAACTCCACGGCAAGATTCTATCCAACAGTCCAGCCAGAGGAGCAAAAATTGACAGAACTCAATTACTAGATCTCTAGGAGAAGGGCTATGAATTACAGGGCAAGAGCTCTAGATTCGTAGTAGCAGTGCTAAGGCAGCTTGCTGGCTTATTGCCTGGAAAGATGGATATCCACCCATCTTCGTCCATAGTTGAGAATAATGAAATAGTAAAGTACCTGAAGACCCAGATAGCATACCATAGCCTTGCAGTAGAGAACATCTTGTGTGGTCCATGCTAGGGTAAAGAGCCATGATTCAACCATTCCAACATTAGTGGTTGAATAGCATTGGCAGCCAGCTCTGAGGAGCTGGCCTTGACAGCCCAGTGAAGGGAGAATCTCACCAACCAGGGATCTCCCATCCTGGCGCTGGCCAAGTCCTTGACTGACAGCCATCCTCTTGCTGAGGAAGGCCAGTTGAGGCTCCCTTACTGCCTATCTACCAGCTGAGATTTGAGGAAGAGATCTAGAGAGGTTGTTCCCCGAGGAAAGACCTTCCAAAATCTCATCGGATTAACTAGTTCGCATACTGCAGGCAGTTTATTAAGGGAAGAAGAGACACCCAAGATGATAAAGGATCTCTTCGGCAGTCTATTACAACAATCACTACAGTGACTACAGCTACAATTGGTTTACCCATCCTTTTGAGTGATTCCATTGGCATTTTGGTGGTGATTTCAAAGCTCCATTTTGAAGTCCTAAGTCAACAACCTTCTGGTCCATTCTGACAGCTCCAGCCTTCACCAGAGCATCAGGTACCTTTCAGTTGACTATCTACCAGTCCAACAAGGCCAACACAATCATCATTGCCATTGAAAGGATCTAGACAAACACCATCTTGACAACAACCATTTTTCTCGAGGTACCTTCCTGTTGACGACCACAAGCCACAAGCTACTAGTAAGCCACCGCAATACGGCATTCCTAGCTGGTGTCAACTCAACGGAAGGAGTTGTCGGAGTACGGAAGACGAGACTTATTGCCTACAGTACAAGACTTATTGGTCCGACCCAAGATCTTGGCAACTGACCATATCTTTTACGTCTCGAGGAATTTGTGAGGTACGACTGTTAATTGTCTTTGCAAGAGGCTTACCGCTCCATGTGATTTCAGCGATCTACACGGAACGATTGGAAGAGCCCAAGGAGAACGTCTGGATTTATTTGAGTTCGGAAGGCATAGCAGTCGTCCGTGCAGTTTCGAGCGATTTACAGGAACGTGCTGGAAGTTCTTTTGCGAAAGTCGCCAGCCAATCAAAACATCTGTGCAGCTTTTGGTGTTTATTTGACGTGCACTGAGTCAGTGACCCGCTTCTTCTTCGATCCTGGATCTTCGAAGACTTATACGGAAAGGTTCTCCATACCGAAAGCAGGCTCAGCCTTGGTAATCGCTTTGTGCTCACGTTTTAAAGGTTTTACACAATCGAGGCATTGAAATCACGACATCGCGATCTTCCGTACGAACGTGATCTTGCTACTCGAAAGCAAGCTGCTGGAAGCACGAGACGACCAAGAGACCGATTCGAGCAACTGATAGTGGTACCATTGAATCAGCCATCCTTTGTTTGGTCAGTCGGTATCTCACCTTCAATTCAGGAAGTCTGATTGAGAAGATTCATTGGTTTGAATTGACTGGCTACCATAGAGGCACCAACCGACAATCCAAGCCATCTCCCAACACCAAGGCAATTCAGGAAGAAGGTTCCAGAGCTTGTGGCCTGTCTACCTTACCCAAGTACATATAAAGTGAATTTCCAAGGCCCTCTGCAAGGTCCCAGGAAGTCCTCTTTGTATTCTTCGAGCTACAGGCAGTCAAGCCTTATTTACTGCTACAAAGAGCTAGGATCCAGTGTTCCACCAAGTACAACACTGAAAGCAACAACAATGTCGGATTCCACCATCAGGAGAAGACTGACTGAGGCGCTCTATGCCACCAACAAGACTGTTGGCCATTCTCAGGACCTCCACCAGCAAGTCTCTTTGGCTACCAACCACAACAGGCAGAAAGCAGCCACTTCTAGGGCCAACCACCCGTCTTCGAATCAAGACAGTGGGGAGTCGCCTGTCACTCGTCCTTTGCGAGTCACAGCCAACAACAACCAGCTGCCCCATGCCACTCCCTTGGTTGCGTCTACGATGCCACCAGTTACCCTAGCTGGTACTCCCAATGCATCACTAGGTGACGGGGAGAGTAAAGAGCTGGCTAGCTCTAGGTGTCACCCAGTTTCCACATTGGCTCATGGGGAGTTGCCAAACGACAAGCAGCCCACCCCAGCAAGTACTGTACCAACCAATAGTGATTGCCGCAGGATGATCCCATCAACCCAGGGAGTCCTGCATGTAATAGACACAATGGTTGTCCCGTCCGAGAAGGACCACACATCCTTTGGAGGACAAACGACAACCAACTCCTGTCGGATGCCCCACAGTTTGCCTAAGCAGGCAATACCCAAGGCAACCAACATGGTTCTAGCAGAACCACCCCTCTTCAGTACTCCAAGTGCTACCAGACTGGTTCCGAATGAGGGAGTTCCTCCGGCAGCTATGCCACTGGGGAGGCCCAGCAGGTGCCAACCAACACAACTGGATGTTGGCCCCAATGACGTTATGTCATGGATGAATGAGACCACGGGTCCAGATCCCAAGGTCTCCTACCGAGTGCAGCACAGGAGCCCCACTAGTGCCTTTGGCCTGTGGTTCCAATGCGTCCTTGGTCCCATGACAAGTCACAGGATTGGACGATTCCAGTCCTTGCTGCCGAAGATACCTTCCCACCTGGATTTTCGGTTGGGCGATTAGTCCCTGTCCCTGACTGGTCGAGCCCATCCAACCCCTCCGTCAAGGGACATGTCTGCGGGGCAGAAATGCCACTCCACTGGAGTCTGCCTCTGCTGAAGCAACTTGGCCAACCGGCTTTTGCAAGCCACCTATTTGTATTAATGTTGAAGAAAGAAGGTCATCATTGAATTGTGACACCATCAACGCTTATGTTCGACAGTGTTGATCCGTTTGGCTCTCCCAGCCTAGCACCTACCATCGGCTAAGGCTCCAAGACGGTGTGTACCACCATGCACACCCAAGTACTGTGAATGACTCACGTTTCAGTGAGTGACGACAAGAAGAGCAGGTTGCAGTCCCACCGTTCCTGCGGCCTCGCAACACAAGCAGTGACGAAGAAGGATCCTGTCCAATCCGACAAAGCAATCAAGCTGACATTGATCGATTCAGCCGCTTTGGTTCAAGACGACAAGCTGGTCACGCTGATTGGTACGACCACTCCTGGGGAGACCCAAGGACGACTTCAAGCACCAGCTCGAAGTCAATCGTCCCATTCCAGAGGCAACAATTTGATCCCAAGGATGCCGATCCTATGGGGAGTCTTAGTGTAGCTAGCCGTAGGTAATCGTACCGTTCACCTGTGGCAGTACCGCAAGAGCGAATCCATTTGCCCTTGTGGGGAGCTATGAATTACAGGGCAAGAGCTCTAGATTCGAAGTAGCAGCAATAAAGCAGCTTGCTGGCTTATTGCCTGGAAAGATGGATATCCACCCATCTTCGTCCATAGTTGAGAATAATGAAATAGTAAAGTACCTGAACGATAACTTTTAGGAGCGAGAGCTCTGGATTCCTCTGGGATAGCTCCAACAGCTATGCTGGCCTACAACTCCAGCATGCGCAGTTGGCTTATCTCCCAGCAAAGCAGCAAGAAAGGATCGTCCTTCTACCATAGTTAAGAAAATAGTACGAAAGATTGAGACCGATCCTGATTAGCTTGTAGCCCCTTTGATACCGCAGCAGTTGATACCTATCCTGTTGAGGCCGGGCAGAAGCAGTAGGAGGTAGCAGATAGTACTGTTCCCAGACTGCCACTGCACGATTGAAAACGAAGGCCCCAGCTCCTGAGGAGAGCTGGCCCAAAGGGTCAGCAGAGAGCTCTGCTGGCCCTCCTGTCTGACTGACAGGGCCAAGTCCTTGGTTTGGTCCTACTGGAGGTGTGGAACTCCTGAGGCACGACAAGGCTCCCTGAACTGCCTGCTACCGCTGTCCCTGAGGAAGGGTTTCAGCGAGACCCAGTCCACTACTTGTATGGAAC